CAAAAAAAGCGAAAAGTTGACTTTGACCGTCGTTATCTCAAAAACTATCTGTCCTATCGGGCTGATTATAGTCTCATTCGATTCAGCGTGTCATTTTCTACTGGAAAAGCGATAATTCGCTTGGATTTACGCCGTTTTCTGGCACTTTCGGCCGTCCGAAGATGGCTCGGTGACTTTATCGTATGGAAGTCTTAGGTGAGAAAATGAAAATTTTTATTTGGCCTATTAAAAATCTGAAAAAATTCACATAGACTAATTCAATGTCGAAATGAACGAATCCGTTGTGGAAATCGGGTAATTTTGAAAAATAGAGACGTAGTAGCCTACCGGAGTGCTTCTATTGGCGAAAAAAGCGAAAAGTTGAGTTTGAGCGTCGATATCTCAAAAACTATCTGTCCTATCGGGCTGATTATAGTCTCATTCGATTCAGCGTGTCATTTTCTACTGGAAAAGCGATAATTCGCGTGGATTTTCGCCGTTTTCTGGCACTTTCGGCCGTCCGAAGATGGCTCGGTGACTTTATTGTATGGAAGTCTTAGGTGAGAAAATGAAAATTTTTATTTGGCCTATTAAAAATCTGAAAAAATTCACATAGACTAATTCAATGTCGAAATGAACGAATCCGTTGTGGAAATCGGGTAATTTTGAAAAATGGAGACGTAGTAGCCTACCGGAGTGCTTCTATTAGCAATAAAAGCGAAAAGTTGACTTTGAGCGTCGATATCTCAAAAACTATCTGTCCTATCGGGCTGATTATAGTCTCATTCGATTCAGCGTGTCATTTTCTACTGGAAAAGCGATAATTCGCGTGGATTTTCGCCGTTTTCTGGCACTTTCGGCCGTCCGAAGATGGCTCGGTGACTTTATCGTATGGAAGTCTTAGGTGAGAAAATGAAAATTTTTATTTGGCCTATTAAAAATCTGAAAAAATTCACATAGACTAATTCAATGTCGAAATGAACGAATCCGTTGTGGAAATCGGGTAATTTTGAAAAATAGAGACGTAGTAGCCTACCGGAGTGCTTCTATTGGAAATAAAAGCGAAAAGTTGACTTTGAGCGTCGATATCCCAAAATTTATCTGTCCTATCGGGCTGATTATGGTCTCATTCGATTTAGCGTGTCATTTTCTACCGGAAAAGCGATAATTCGCTTGGATTTTCGCCGTTTTCTGGCACTTTCGGCCGTCCGAAGGTGGCTCGGTGACTTTATCGTATGGAAGTCTTAGGTGAGAAAATGAAAATTTTTATTTGGCCTATTAAAAATCTGAAAAATTCACATAGACTAATTCAATGTCGAAATAAACTGGAAATCGGGTAATTTTGAAAAATAGAGACCTAGTAGCCTACCGGAGTGCTTCTATTGGCAATAAAAGCAAAAAGCTGACCATGAGCGCAGATATCTCGAAAACTATCTGTTTTATCGGGCTGATCATGGTCTCATTCGATTCAGCGTGTCATTTTCTACTAGGAAAGCGATAATTCGCGTGGATTTTCGCCGTTTCCTGGCACTTTCGGCCGTCCGAAGATGGCTCGGTGACTTTATCGTATGGAAGTCTTAGGTGAGAAAATGAAAATTTTTATTTGGCCTATTAAAAATCTGAAAAAATTCACATAGACTAATCCAATGTCGAAATGAACGAATCCGTGGTGGAAATCGGGTAATTTTGAAAAATAGAGACGTAGTAGCCTACCGGAGTGCTTCTATTGGCAATAAAAGCGAAAAGTTGACTTTGAGCGTCGAT